TCTCGGCGGCCGGGGTCGTGGAGGAGAGCTGCTGCGGAGCCGCGGCCGGGCACCAGCTGGGCTTGGCCCCGTGGCCATGAGGCGGGGACGAGTCGCAGCCGCCATCGGGCTGAGGCTTCAGGCACAGCTCCCGCGAGCCGCAGTTGCCCGCTCTAGCCCGTCACGCAAGAGTCCTGGTCGCCGCACCCGTTGAAGCAGCACTTCCCCGCCGTCGTATTCTCGGCTGCCGGGGCCGTTGACGAGAGCTGCTGCGGAGCCGCGGCCGGGCACCAGCTGGGCTTGGCCCCGTGGCCATGAGGCGGGGACGAGTCGCAGCCGCCATCGGGCTGAGGCTTCAAGCACAGCTCCCGCGAGCCGCAGTAGCCCGTCACGCAAGAGTCCTGGTCGCCGCACCCGTTGAAGCAGCACTTCCCCGCCGTCGTATTCTCGGCAGCCGGGGCCGTTGACGAGAGCTGCTGCGGAGCCGCGGCCGGGCACCAGCTGGGCTTGGCCCCGTGGCCATGAGGCGGGGACGAGTCGCAGCCGCCATCGGGCTGAGGCTTCAGGCACAGCTCCCGCGAGCCGCAGTGGCCCGTCACGCACGAGTCCTCGTCGCCGCACCCGTTGAAGCAGCACTTCCCCCCCGTCGCATCGCGGCCCGACCCGCGCAGGCTGTGCGCGGGAGCACCCGAGGCGCCCAGGACGAACACGCTCACGAACAGCACTGAGCACGCCATAATTACCCCTGCCAGGTTGTCCCCGACAGGCCTCCTGGTGCCACGAGTCACAAGCAACTTGAGCCAAGACTGGCACGCTGGTCTGTCGAGTGAGTCTGCCGCCCTGTGCAAATGATGGACCTCGTGAGCTGTGAAGGGCTCTTTGGGGCCCTTTGGGGGGCCTTGTTGGGGCCGTTGGGAGGGAGCATTTGGGGAGCCTCTTGGAGGCTTCTTTGACCCTCTTGGACTATCTGGGCGTGTCTCGAGGGTCTGTGGGGTCTCTCTTGGCCTGTCTGGGCGTTCTCTTTGACTGTCTTGGGGCTCTCTTGGCCAGTCTCGGGGCCTCTTCGGGCGCTCTGGGGGCCCTCTGGGCGCCTCTTGGGGGCCTCTTGCGAGTCTCTTGGGCCGCTTTGGGGGTCCCTTGGGGAGCCTTCGGAGGCTCTCTTGGGCCGTTTTGAGGCCCTCCGGGAGCGATTCCAAGATAATGCTGGTTCAGAATGTCTCGAGCGGAACGGCCATTTGTCCGCAACCTGACCGGAGAAGCTTTGCTTCTGTCCACCAAGCATGTGGAATATGCTCTGTTGTTGTTACGCCGCGCAGGTATGCCGTGGCGCGCGTGTCGGCGTGCGTGCGGGGTGCGTTTTGCTGTGCTCCTGTGTGTTCCGCCGCGCTCCTGTTCTGCCGTGCTTCTGTGTTCTGTCGTGCCTCTGTGTGCTCTGTGTGTTCTGCCGTGCTCCTGTATTCTGCCGTGCGGATCGTCGCGGTGGTCGTCTTGGCGGAGCTTCTGGGCGCGCACGGCATAAAAAGATCAGGAGCACGACAGACTAGGTCCCAAGAGCGAAGGAGCAGGGCAGAAAAAGACCAGGAACACGGCAGAGTAGACCCCAAGAGCAAAGGAGTACGGCAGAATAGACCCCAAAAGCGAAGGGGCACGGCAGAAAAAGACCAGGAGCACGGCAGAATAGACCCCAAGAGCGAAGGAGCAGGCAGAAAAAGACCATGAGCACGGCAGAATAGGGCCCGAAGAGCGAAGGAGCTCGGCAGAAAAAAAACAGGAGCACTGCAAAATAGACCCCAAGAGCTAAGGAGCACGGCAGAATAAACTAGGAACACGGCAGAGTAGGCCCCAAGAGCGAAGGAGCACGGCAACAGAAGACCAGGAGCACGGCAAAATAGACCTCAAGAGCTAAGAAGCACGGCAGAAAAAAAAACAGGAGCACGGCAAAAGAGGCCCGTAGAGCGAAGGAGCACGGCAGAAAAAGACCAGGAGCACGGCAGAATAGGCCCGAAGAGCGAAGGAGCACCGCAAAAAAAAGCACGGCATAATAAACCCTAAGAGCTAAGGAGCACGGCAGAAGAGGCCCCAAGAGCGAAGGAGCACGCCAGAAAAAGACCATGAGCACGGCAGAATATACCCCAAGAGCTAAAGAGCACGGCAGAAGAGGCCCGAAGAGCGAAGGAGCAAGGCAGAAGACCAGGAGCACGGCAAAATAGACCCCAAGAGCTAAGGAGCACGGCAGAATAGGCCCCAAGAGCGAAGGGGCACGGCAGAAAAAGACCAGGAGCACGGCAGAACAAACCCAAAGAGCTAAAGAGCACGGCAGAAAACGACCAGGAGCACGGCAGAACAGACCCTTTGAGCGACGGAGTGCGGCAGAAAAAGACCAGGAGCACGGCAGAATAGACCCCAAGAGCTAAGGAGCACGGCAGAATAGACCCCAAGAGCGAAAGAGACGCCCGAAAAAGACCAGGAGCACGGCAGAAGACGCCCCCAAGAGCTAAGGAGCACGGCAGAAAAAGACCAGGAGCACAGCAGAATGGACCCGAAGAGCGAAGGAGCGCGGCAGAAAGAAAACCAGGAGCACGGCAGAATAGGCCCCAAGAGCTGCCGAGCACGGCAGAAAAAGACCAGGAGCACGGCAGAATAAACCCCAAGAGCTAAGAAGCACGGCAGAATAGGCCCCAAGAGCTAAAGAGCACGCCAGAAAAAGACCAGGAGCACGGCAGAATAGACCCCATGGGGCGCATGGGGAGGACAGCGTGCAGGACGTCGAGCACAGCGCCAAAGAGCAGGATGATCATGAGTGGGATGGTAAGACAATGGCATGGAGTATGAGAGTTAAGAAGACGAGCACGAGGGAGAAGGAATGATCAACAGAAGGAGAATGTGCAGCATGAGGATGACAAGGATGATGACGGGTTCTCTTGGACCGTCCTGGGGCCCTGTAGGGCCGTCTTGGGGGGCCTAGGCCGTCTTGGGGCCCTCTTGGGGCTCTCCGGAACCCTCACCAACACACGCGCCATCGATTCATTGTGCTGGTCCCCCGCTCAACTTCAAGGTAAACGCTGCCGTGCTGGACTGGCACGCTGGCTTTCTTTTTGTTTTTTAGTTGCGCTCACCCGCATGTGTTCGAAAAGTGTCCCAAATGCGATACGTACCTGCGGCCTTCCTGTATGCAAATGTTGCACACTCTTGGAGCAACAATGGCGACGACCAGGTATCGAACTCGTCTAAAACGCATAGACGACAAAATCACACTCAACCTTGCAAACGCTATCACAATAACTGCACTCGTCGGTATTACACAATTCTGTACGTAGAGCAGCTACTGCATCTTCAAATCGTGCACACAAAACAAATTAAATAAACGCCTCATGCGTCCAGCATGCACGTTCACCAGATGCACCAGCTGGGCTTGGCGCCCTGGCCGTGAGGAGGGGACGAGTCGCAGCCGCCATCGGGCTGAGGCTTCAGGCACAGCTCCCGCGAGCCGCAGAAGCCCGTCACGCACGAGTCCTCGTCGCCGCACCCGTTGAAGCAGCACTTCCCCCCGGACGCATTCTCGGCGGCCAGGGCCGTTGACGAGAGCTGCTGCGGAGCCGCGGCCGGGCACCAGCTGGGCTTGGCCCCATGGCCATGAGGCGGGGACGAGTCGCAGCCGCCATCGGGCTGAGGCTTCAGGCACAGCTCCCGCGAGCCGCAGTAGCCCGTCACGCACGAGTCCTCGTCGCCGCACCCGTTGAAGCAGCACTTCCCCCCCGTCGCATTCTCGGCGGCCGGGGCCGTGGACGAGAGCTGCTGCGGAGCCGCGGCCGGGCACCAGCTGGGCTTGGCCCCATGGCCATGAGGCGGGGACGAGTCGCAGCCGCCATCGGGCTGAGGCTTCAGGCACAGCTCCCGCGAGCCGCAGTAGCCCGTCACGCACGAGTCCTCGTCGCCGCACCCGTTGAAGCAGCACTTCCCCCCCGTCGCATTCTCGGCGGCCGGGGCCGTGGAGGAGAGCTGCTGCGGAGCCGCGGCCGGGCACCAGCTGGGCTTGGCCCCGTGACCATGTGGCGGGGACGAGTGCAGCCCGCCATCGGGCTGAGGCTTCAGGCACAGCTCCCGCGAGACGCAGTAGCCCGTCACGCACGAGTCCTCGTCGCCGCACCCGTTGAAGCAGCACTTCCCCCCCGTCGCATTCTCGGCGGCCGGGGCCGTTGACGAGAGCTGCTGCGGAGCCGCGGCCGGGCACCAGCTGGGCTTGGCCCCGTGGCCATGAGGCGGGGACGAGTCGCAGCCGCCATCGGGCTGAGGCTTCAGGCACAGCTCCCGCGAGCCGCAGTAGCCCGTCACGCACGAGTCCTCGTCGCCGCACCCGTTGAAGCAGCACTTCCCCCCCGTCGCATTCTCGGCGGCCGGGGCCGTGGACGAGAGCTGCTGCGGAGCCGCGGCCGGGCACCAGCTGGGCTTGGCCCCATGGCCATGAGGCGGGGACGAGTCGCAGCCGCCATCGGGCTGAGGCTTCAGGCACAGCTCCCGCGAGCCGCAGTAGCCCGTCACGCACGAGTCCTCGTCGCCGCACCCGTTGAAGCAGCACTTCCCCCCCGTCGCATTCTCGGCGGCCGGGGCCGTTGACGAGAGCTGCTGCGGAGCCGCGGCCGGGCACCAGCTGGGCTGCCCCCATGGCCATGAGGCCGGGGGACGAGTCGCAGCCGCAATCGGGCTGAGGCTTCAGGACAGCCCCGCGGCCGCAGTAGCCGTTCACGCACGAGTCCTCGTCGCCGCCCGTTAAGCAGCACTTCCCCCCCGTTCGCCATTCTCGGCGGCCGGGGCCGTGGAGGAGAGCTGCTGCGGAGCCGCGCCGGGCACCAGCTGGGTTGGGCCCCATGGCCATGGGCGGGGACGAGTCGCAGCGCCATCGGGCTGGCGTCAGGCACAGCTCCCGCGAGCCGCAGTAGCCCGTCACGCACGAGTCCTCGTCGCCGCACCCGTTGAAGCAGCACTTCCCCCCCGTCGCATTCTCGGCGGCTGGGGCCGTGGACGAGAGCTGCTGCGGAGCCGCGGCCGGGCACCAGTTGGGCTTGGCCCCATGGCCATGAGGCGGGGACGAGTCGCAGCCGCCATCGGGCTGAGGCTTCAGGCACAGCTCCCGCGAGCCGCAGTAGCCCGTCACGCACGAGTCCTCGTCGCCGCACCCGTTGAAGCAGCACTTCCCCCCCGTCACATTCTCGGCGGCCGGGGCCGTGGACGAGAATTGCTGCGGAGCCGCGGCCGGGCACCAGCTGGGCTTGGCCCCGTGGCCATGAGGCGGGGACGAGTCGCAGCCGCCATCGGGCTGAGCCTTCAGGCACAGCTCCCGCGAGCCGCAGTAGCGTACGCTCGAGTCCTCGTCGCCGCAACGTTGAAGGCCGATCTTTCCCCCCCGTCGCATTCTCGGCGGCCGAGGCCGTGGAGGAGAGCTGCTGCGGAAAGCCTCAACTCACTCTGTGTCACCACTCCGCTTCCCCACGAGGCGGGGACGTAGTCGCAGCGCCATCGGGCTGAGCTTCAGGACAGCTCGCGAGCCACCCCCCCAGTAGGGCCCGTCACGCACGAGTCCTCGTCGCCGCACCCGTTAAAGCAGCACTTCCCCCCCAGTCACATTTCTCGGCGCCCGGGTGGCCGTGACGAGAGCTGCTGCGGAGCCGCGGCCGGGCACCAGCTGGGCTTGGCCCCGTGGCCATGAGGCGGGGACGAGTCTCAGCCGCCATCGGGCTGAGGCGTCAGGCACAGCTCCCGCGAGCCGCACGAGTCCTCGTCGCCGCACCCGTTGAAGCAGCACTTCCCCCCCGTCGCATTCTCGGCGGCCGGGGCCGTGGACGAGAGCTGCTGCGGAGCCGCGGCCGGGCACCAGCTGGGCTTGGCCCCGTGGCCATGAGGCGGGGACGAGTCGCAGCCGCCATCGGGCTGAGGCTTCAGGCACAGCTCCCGCGAGCCGCAGTAGCCCGTCACGCACGAGTCCTCGTCGCCGCACCCGTTGAAGCAGCACTTCCCCCCCGTCGCATCGCGGCCCGACCCGCGCAGGCTGTGCGCGGGAGCACCCGAGGCGCCCAGGACGAACACGCTCACGAACAGCACTGAGCACGCCATAATTACCCCTGCCAGGTTGTCCCCGACAGGCCTCCTGGTGCCACGAGCCACAAGCAACTTGAGCCAAGACTGGCACGCTGGTCTGTCGAGTGAGTCTGCCGTCCTGTGCAAATGATGGACCTCGTGAGCTGTGAAGGGCTCTTTGGGGCCCTTTGGGGGGCCTTGTTGGGGCCGTTGGGAGGGAGCATTTGGGGAGCCTCTTGGAGGCTTCTCTGACCCTCTTGGACTATCCGGGCGTGTCTCGAGGGTCTGTGGGGTCTCTCTTGGCCTGTCTGGGCGTTCTCTTTGACTGTCTTGGGGCCCTCTTGGCCAGTCTCGGGGCCTCTTCGGGCGCTCTGGGGGCCCTCTGGGCGCCTCTTGGGGGCCTCTTGCGAGTCTCTTGGGCCGCTTTGGGGGTCCCCTGGGGAGCCTTCGGAGGCTCCCTTCGGCCGTTTTGAGGCCCTCCGGGAGCGATTCCAAGATAATGCTGGTTCAGAATGTCTCGAACGGAACGGCCATTTGTCCGCAACCTGACCGGACAAGAACGGGAAGCTTTGCTTTAGTCCACCAAGCATGTGGAATATGCTCTGTTGTTGTTACGCCGCGCAGGTATGCCGTGGCGCGCGTGTCGGCGTGCATGCGGGGTGTGTTTTGCTGTGCTCCGGTGTGTTCTGCCACGCTCCTGTTCTGCCGTGCTTCTGTGTCCTGTCGTGCCTCTGTGTGCTCTGTGTGTTCTGCCGTGCTCCTGTATTCTGCCGTGCGGATCGTCGCGGTGGTCGTTTTGGCGGAGCTTCTGGGCGCGCACGGCATAACAAGATCAGGAGCACGGCAGAATAGGTCCCAAGAGCGAAGGAGCAAGGCAGAAAAAGACCAGGAGCACGGCAGAATAGACCCCAAGAGCTAAGGAGTACGGCAGAATAGACCCCAAAAGGGAAGGGGCACGGCAGAAAAAAACCAGGAACACGGCAAAATAGACCCCAAGAGCTAAGGAGCACGGCAGAATAAACCAGGAGCACGGCAGAGTAGGCCCCAAGAGCGAAGAAGCACGGCGACAGAAGACCAGGAGCACGGCAAAATAGACCTCAAGAGCGAAGGAGCACGGCAACAGAAGACCAGGAGCACGGCAAAAGAGGCCCGTAGAGCGAAGGAGCACGGCAGAAAAAAACCAGGAGCACGGCAGAAGAGGCCCGAAGAGCGAAGGAGCACGGCAGAAAAAAACAGAAGCACGGCAGAATAAACCCTAAGAGCTGAGGAGCACGGCAGAAGAGGCCCCAAGAGCTGCCGAGCACGGCAGAGAAAGACCAGGAGCACGGCAGAATAGACCCCAAGAGCTAAAGAGCACGGCAGAAGAGGCCCGAAGAGCGAAGGAGCAAGGCAGAAGACCAGGAGCACGGCAAAATAGACCCCAAGAGCTAAGGAGCACGGCAGAATAGGCCCAAAGAGCGCAGGAGCACGGCAGAAAAAGACCAGGAGCACGGCAGAACAACCCTCAAGAGCTAAAGAGCACGGCAGAAAAAGACCAGGAGCACGGCAGAACAGACCCTTTGAGCGACTGAGTGCGGCAGAAAAAGACCAGGAGCACGGCAGAATAGACCCCAAGAGCTAAGGAGCACGGCAGAATAGGCCCCAAGAGCGAAAGAGACGCCCGAAAAAGACCAGGAGCACGGCAGAAGACGCCCCCAAGAGCTAAGGAGCACGGCAGAAAAAGACCAGGAGCACGGCAGAATGGGCCCGAAGAGCGAAGGAGCGCGGCAGAAAAAAAACTAGGAGCACGGCAGAATAGGCCCCAAGAGCTGCCGAGCACGGCAGAGAAAGACCAGGAGCACGGCAGAATAAACCCCAAGAGCTAAGAAGCACGGCAGAATGGGCCCCAAGAGCTAAAGAGCACGCCAGAAAAAGACCAGGAGCACGGCAGAATAGACCCCATGGGGCGCATGGGGAGGACAGCGTGCAGGACGTCGAGCACAGCGCCAAAGAGCAGGATGATCATGAGTGGGATGGTAAGACAATGGCATGGAGTATGAGAGTTAAGAAGACGAGCACGAGGGAGAAGGAATGAACAGCAGAAGGAGAATGTGCAGCATGAGGATGACGAGGATGATGACATCACACCGGAAGCAATCAAACATACTCCATATCAGAGAATAAGCGGGCGGCGGAGAAAAAAAACTGAAAGAGTAACTGACGTATCGAAGAAAACGGCGGCAAGACAAACCAACAAATGCAAATCAGCTGGAACTCCCGATAAAACATTGGCGGCGAATCGTCTTGTAACCAGTACGGAATGATTATGGCGGGCTCTGTTCTGGAATCAGTTGAATAAAACTACAGCGAATATATACATATATATGCACTGTACATATATATATATAAACATACATACACATAACCATAGAACTATCTATATCTTATCACAAAAAACTCGGAAATCAAGCGCGGGCGCAAGCGCTCCCACGCGCTCCCAGGCGCCTCCTGGCGTTCCCAGGCGTTTGTATGCGCTCCTGGGCGACCTCCCCCCAGCACTCGCAAGCACTCGCAAGCGCTCGCATGCGCGCGCAAGCGCTCCCAAGCGCTCGCATGCGCTGTCAGGCGTCCGCCGGGGCATTCGCAAGCGCCCGCGAGCGCGCGCGGGCGCTCCCAGGCGCCGGAGTTAGCAACCTCATATGACAAAACAAGCGCGGGGAAAAAAACAACAAAATGGTGGCGGGCTCGCCGGCCAAAATCAGTTCAAAATGACGGCGGCGGCGGAGGGGGGCGCCCAGTCAGTACTGCAGTGAGCACCGAAGAAACCGTAGTGATATGATGACGGGGTTCTCTTGGGCCGTCCTGGGGCCCTGTAGGGCCGTCTTGGGGGGCCTAGGCCGTCTTGGGGCCCTCTTGGGGCTCTCCAGAACCCTCACCAACACACGCGCTATCGATTCATCGTGCTGGTCCCCGGCTCAACTTCAAGGTAAACGCTGCCGTGCTGGACTGGCACGCTGGTCTTTCTTTTTGTTTTTTAGTTGCGCTCACCCGCATGTGTTCGAAAAGTGTCCCAAATGCGATACGTACCTGCGGCCTTCCTGTATGCAAATGTTGCACACTCTTGGAGCAACAATGGCGACGACCAGGTATCGAACTCGGCTAAAACGCATAGACGACAAAATCACACTCAACCTTGCAAACGCTATCACAATAACTGCACTCGTCGGTATTACACAATTCTGTACGTAGGGCAGCTACTGCATCTTCAGATCGTGCACACAAAACAAATTAAACACCTCATGCGTCCAGCATGAACGTTCACCAGACGCACCAGCTGGGCTTGGCGCCCTGGCCGTGAGGAGGGGAGGAGTCGCAGCCGCCATCGGGCTGAGGCTTCAGGCACAGCTCCCGCGAGCCGCAGTAGCCCGTCACGCACGAGTCCTCGTCGCCGCACCCGTTGAAGCAGCACTTCCCCCCCGTCGCATTCTCGGCGGCCGGGGCCGTGGACGAGAGCTGCTGCGGAGCCGCGGCCGGGCACCAGCTGGGCTTGGCCCCGTGGCCATGAGGCGGGGACGAGTCGCAGCCGCCATCGGGCTGAGGCTTCAGGCACAGCTCCCGCGAGCCGCAGTAGCCCGTCACGCACGAGTCCTCGTCGCCGCACCCGTTGAAGCAGCACTTCCCCCCCGTCGCATTCTCGGCGGCCGGGGCCGTGGACGAGAGCTGCTGCGGAGCCGCGGCCGGGCACCAGCTGGGCTTGGCCCCGTGGCCATGAGGCGGGGACGAGTCGCAGCCGCCATCGGGCTGAGGCTTCAGGCACAGCTCCCGCGAGCCGCAGTAGCCCGTCACGCACGAGTCCTCGTCGCCGCACCCGTTGAAGCAGCACTTCCCCCCCGTCGCATTCTCGGCGGCCGGGGCCGTGGACGAGAGCTGCTGCGGAGCCGCGGCCAGGCACCAGCTGGGCTTGGCCCCGTGGCCATGAGGCGGGGACGAGTCGCAGCCGCCATCGGGCTGAGGCTTCAGGCACAGCTCCCGCGAGCCGCAGTAGCCCGTCACGCACGAGTCCTCGTCGCCGCACCCGTTGAAGCAGCACTTCCCCCCCGTCGCATTCTCGGCGGCCGGGGCCGTGGACGAGAGCTGCTGCGGAGCCGCGGCCGGGCACCAGCTGGGCTTGGCCCCGTGGCCATGAGGCGGGGACGAGTCGCAGCCGCCATCGGGCTGAGGCTTCAGGCACAGCTCCCGCGAGCCGCAGTAGCCCAACGCACGAGTCCTCGTCGCCGCACCCGTTGAAGCAGCACTTCCCCCCCGTCGCATTCTCGGCGGCCGGGGCGTGGACGAGAGCTGCTGCGGAGCGCGGCCGGGCACCAGCTGGGCTTGGCCCCGTGGCCATGAGGCGGGGACGAGTCGCAGCCGCCATCGGGCTGAGGCTTCAGGCACAGCTCCCGCGAGCCGCAGTAGCCCGTCACGCACGACTCCTCGTCGCCGCACCCGTTGAAGCAGCACTTCCCCCCCGTCGCATTCTCGGCGGCCGGGGCCGTGGAGGAGAGCTGCTGCGGAGCCGCGGCCGGGCACCAGCTGGGCTTGGCCCCGTGGCCATGAGGCGGGGACGAGTCGCAGCCGCCATCGGGCTGAGGCTTCAGGCACAGCTCCCGCGAGCCGCAGTAGCCCGTCACGCACGAGTCCTCGTCGCCGCACCCGTTGAAGCAGCACTTCCCCCCCGTCGCATTCTCGGCGGCCGGGGCCGTGACGAGAGCTGCTGCGGAGCCGCGGCCGGGCACCAGCTGGGCTTGGCCCCGTGGCCGTGAGGCGGGGACGAGTCGCAGCCGCCATCGGGCTGAGGCTTCAGGCACAGCTCCCGCGAGCCGCAGTAGCCCGTCACGCACGAGTCTTCGTCGCCGCACCCGTTGAAGCAGCACTTCCCCCCCGTCGCATTCTCGGCGGCCGGGGCCGTGGACGAGAGCTGCTGCGGAGCCGCGGCCGGGCACCAGCTGGGCTTGGCCCCGTAGCCATGAGGCGGGGACGAGTCGCAGCCGCCATCGGGCTGAGGCTTCAGGCACAGCTCCCGCGAGCCGCAGTAGCCCGTCACGCACGACTCCTCGTCGCCGCACCCGTTGAAGCAGCACTTCCCCCCCGTCGCATTCTCGGCGGCCGGGGCCGTGGAAGAGAACTGCTGCGGAGCCGCGGGCGGGCACCAGCTGGGCTTGGCCCCGTGGCCATGAGGCGGGGACGAGTCGCAGCCGCCATCGGGCTGAGGCTTCAGGCACAGCTCCCGCGAGCCGCAGTAGCCCGTCACGCACGACTCCTCGTCGCCGCACCCGTTGAAGCAGCACTTCCCCCCCGTCGCATCGCGGCCCGACCCGCGCAGGCTGTGCGCGGGCGCACCCGAGGCGCCCAGGACGAGCACGCTCACGAACAGCACTGAGCACGCCATAATTACCCCTGCCAGGTTGTCCCCGACAGGCCTCCTGGTGCCACGAGCCACAAGCAACTTGAGCCAAGACTGGCACGCTGGTCTGTCGAGTGAGTCTGCCGCCCTGTGCAAATGATGGACCTCGTGAGCTGTGAAGGGCTCTTTGGGGCGCTTTGGGGGGCCTTGTTGGGGCCGTTGGGAGGGAGCATTTGGGGAGCCTCTTGGAGGCTTCTTTGACCCTCTTGGACTATCCGGGCGTGTCTCGAGGGTCTGTGGGGTCTCTCTTGGCCTGTCTGGGCGTTCTCTTTGACTGTCTTGGGGCTCTCTTTGCCAGTCTCGGGGCCTCTTCGGGCACTCTGGGGGCCCTCTGGGCGCCTCTTGGGGGCCTCTTGCGAGTCTCTTGGGCCGCTTTGGGGGTCCCCTGGGGAGCCTTCGGAGGCTCTCTTGGGCCGTTTTGAGGCCCTGTGGGAGCGATTCCAAGATAATGCTGGTTCAGAATGTCTCGAGCGGAACGGCCATTTGTCCGCAACCTGACTGGACAAGAGCGGGAAGCTTTGCTTTAGTCCACCAAGCATGTGGAATATGCTCTGTTGTTGTTACGCCGCGCCGGTATGCCGTGGCGCGCGTGTCGGCGTGCGTGCGGGGTGTGTTTCGCTGTGCTCCTGTGTGTTCTGCCGCGCTCCTGTTCTGCCGTGCTTCTGTGTTCTGTCGTGCCTCTGTGTGCTCTGTGTGTTCTGCCGTGCTCCTGTATTCTGCCGTGCGGATCGTCGCGGTGGTCGTTTTGGCGGAGCTTCTGGGCGCGCACGGCATAAAAAGATCAGGAGCACGGCAGAATAGGTCCCAAGAGCGAAGGAGCAAGGCAGAAAAAGACCAGGAACACGGCAGAACAGACCCCACGAACAAAGGAGTACGGCAGAATACACCCCAAAAGCGAAGGGGCACGGCAGAAAAAGACCAGGAGCACGGCAGAACAAACCCCAAGAGCTAAAGAGCACGGCAGAAGAAAGACCAGGAGCACGGCAGAACAGACCCTTAGAGCGACGGAGTGCGGCAGAAAAAAAAACAGGAGCACGGCAGAATAGACCCCAAGAGCTAAGGAGCACGGCAGAATAGGCCCCAAGAGCGAAAGAGACGCCTAAAAAAGACCATGAGCACGGCAGAAGAGGCCCCCAAGAGCTAAGGAGCACGCCAGAAAAAGACCACGAGCACGGCAGAATAGGCCCCATGAGCGAAGGAGTACGGCAGAAGAGGCCCCAAGAGCTAAAGAGCACGGCAGAAAAAGACCAGGAGCACGGCAAAATAGACCCCAAGAGCTAAGGAGCACGGCAGAATAGGCCCCAAGAGCGAAGGGGCACGGCAGAAAAAGACCAGGAGCACGGCAGAACAAACCCCAAGAGCTAAAGAGCACGGCAGAAAAAAAGACCAGGAGCACGGCAGAACAACCCCCAAGAGCTAAAGAGCACGGCAGAAAAAAAGACCAGGAGCACGGCAGAACAGACCCTTAGAGCGACGGAGTGCGGCAGAAAAAAAAACAGGAGCACGGCAGAATAGACCCCAAGAGCTAAGGAGCACGGCAGAAGAGGCCCCCAAGAGCTAAGGAACACGGCAGAGAAAGACCAAGAGCACGGCAGAATGGGCCCGAAGTGCGAAGGAGCACGGCAGAAAGAAAACCAGGAGCACGGCAGAATTGGCCCCAAAAGCTGCCGAGCACGGCAGAAAAAGACCAGGAGCACGGCAGAATAGGCCCGAAGAGCTAAGAAGCACGGCAGAATAGACCGCAAGAGCTAAAGAGCACGCCAGAAAAAGGCTATGAGCACGGCAGAATAGACCCCAAAAGCTAGGGGGCACGGTAGAAAAAGACCGAAGCACGGCAGAATAGGCCCGAGAAGCCAAGGAGTACGACTGAAAAAGACCAGGAGCACGGCAGAACAGACCCGAAGAGTGAAGGACCACGGCAGAATAGGCCCCAAGAGCGAAGGAGCACCACAGAAAAGACCGGGAGCACGGCAAAATAGACCCCAAGAGCTAAGGAGCACGGCAGAAAAAGACGAGAACGGCAGAATAGGCCCGAAGAGCGAAGGAGACAAAAAAAGGAGCACGGCAGAATAGGCCCCATGAGCGAAGGAGCACGGCAGAATAGACCCCAAGAGCTAAGGAGCCCGGCAGAAGAGGACCCAAGAGCGAAGGAGCAATGCAGAAAAGACCAGGAACACGGCAAAATAGACCCCAAGAGCTAAGGAGCACGGCAGAATAGACCCCAAGAGCGAAGCAGAACGGCAGAAAAAGACCAGGAGCACGGCAGAGTAGACCCGAAGAGCCAAGAAGTACGGCAGAAGAATACCAGGAGCACGGCAGGATATACCCCAAGCGCTAAGGAGCACGGCAGATAGACCCCAAAAACAAAGGAGCACGGCAAAAATACTCATTCTCTGCCGTGCTCCTATTTTTTCGTCCGCCGTGCTCCAAACGATGTTCTAAGGATGTCTGCAGCGAAAGCGCCATGTTTAACATGAGAGGTAGTAAAACCGCCTCTTTGACATATCATTGTTGTGAGGATGTCTGAGGAGATAGAACAGTGTTTGAACATATGTCAAATTCGCGACCTCCCATTGTTGGGGTGATATCTCAGGCGAAACGCTTATTTGTGATAAAATCGATGCTACGTACATATCAATGTTGTGAGGATGTCTCAGGCGAAATCACATGCTGGGTCGGCTCGAGGGCGATCCTGGGGGTCATATTGGGGCTCGCTTGGGGCCCTTTGGGGCCCTCTTGATGCCCTCAAAAAACATTTCAGTGCGATCTTAGACACATTGAATGTATGAGGATGTCCCTAGCGAAATCGTCATTTGTCGAAGGCTGACTTAGACCATCTAGAAGCCTTTTCAGGAGCGATACCAAGACGATGTTAGAACAGCAGTTTTCAAAACGATACTATTGCTGTTCCTCATTGTTTGAGGATGTTCCCAGCGAAATCGTCATGTTCGGCAGTCTCCAGGGCGCTGTTGGAGCCATCTTGGGCTCCATTTAGGGCTCTCATGTTTCATCTTGAAGCACTTCGAGAACGATGTCGAGGCGATGTTGCCAACATCTCATTTTTGGGGGGTGTCCCCAGCGAACTGATCATGTTCTGCCGTGCTCTTTTTTTCAGTCTGCCGCGCCCCTCCCGATTGTCTGAGGATGTCCCGAGCGAAAGCGCCATGTCTTATATGAGAGGTAGTAAAACAGCTTTTCCAACATATCATTTGTTCGAGGATGTCTCGGGCGAAACGCTCATTTTTCATGCTCAGCCAAATGCTTGACATGTCTCGACATCCCGATGGTCTGAGGATATCTCGAGCGAAAACGCCATTTTGAACAGAAAACGTCTTAGACGATAGCCTCCAACATCTCCATGTTCGGAGATGCCTCGAGCGAAATCGCTGCTTTGCATCGCTGCAGTTTCACTTTGCTATGCGTCGGAGCCATTCAGTGCTCGAGAGCGATCTTGGACTCTTGGAACCCCGCCTAGACCTCCGCGGACAACAGCACCCCGTAGCCTCAGGCCCGATCCCACACCGCAG